CCTACTTGGGTGCAAAAATTGTTTGAACCAGAAAACCTGCAGATCTGTTTAGCTGACTGTGAGCAGTTTGTATTTCAGGATACTTGCCAGCTTGGTGACTCCTGTCCATATCTGCTAGACGGAGGAACTGAAATGTGAACAGCCCTTAAATCAATATTTAAAAAATGACTACATCTTTAAAGGGTTTATTGACACCTTGCTGAAAAGTTCTGGATTTGAGCTTTATGTGTTTTTAATCCATGTGCCAAACCAGGAAATTATATAATTATGACAGCTGAATTAAAATACCTTTTAGTCAGTATTCACCAGAACTAAACATCCATGATGAATAAACTCAGTGTTTTGTTGGTTAATTAAGGCTAAGTAGTCATAATTTGTGCACTTTACTTTGAGAATATGTGAATGGGGCACGATAATGACAAGTGGTCAGCTTGATCTGTTCTAAACTATCCTGCCTGCAGCTATGTGTGCATGAAAGGAGAATTAAAAACAAAACAAAACAACCCACTGTGGTAGCAGTGTACAAAGGAGCAGCCAGTGTGGTTGGGCAGCAGGAGCTGTAAATATGCTTAAGGGAAGGTATTTAAAGTACCCCACCCTGCCTGGGGCAAGTTTGCCCCAGATGAATCAGGGCCAAATAGTTTTCTAAGGACTGCATAATGTGTCTGCAGGTTTGTCATGCAGAATCATAGAAAAATTGAAAGTGGATTTTAAATTGCTTCGGCAGTTGTCATCCTGGCTCAGCAATGCCAATATTCCTGTTTTGTGGAAATTTTCTGACTGGGTCACTTCCAGGAACCAGAATTAACAAAACCAGGCTTTGCCATAGTTGAGGTTCTCTGAACTTCTGCAAGTAAAATCCTGAACAGGTCACTTATTATTCACCCCATCAGAGTATTCCTATATTTTAATTTTTGTCCTTTTTAGTCAAACTTAAAATAGTTACTGAAATAATAGTTTATGGTTTTCTTATGATGCTGCTGTCCCTGTATTTAGGGACTTCATCTCTAGCAAACCAAAACCCCAGTGTTAAGACTTTGGAAGTGCCCAAAGTGTAATTGCCAATGCACATGAGTTAAATTTACAAACTTTACCTGATCATCTCAGTGGGAAAAAAATGCTATAACAGAAACTGGAGATAAGGTGCAGATTTCTAGTGCCAGGAGGCTGAAAACTCAGATGGTGAATGTAAAGAGAAACCTCAAAGCTGGCTCTTTCCTGTGAAAAATGACTGGCATTTAGAGATACGTGTTGGCATATGTTCAGTCTTTACAGTTGGGAAAAAAAGGAAGTTTAAAGGAGTTAAAGGAGTCTTTGGGTTTGTGTGCTGAGCACTTTGCTGTCATGACTTCAGGGGAATGTGACTGATTTCAGTTGTGTGTGTTGGCTTCTTCATGTTTAAAGTACTAAATTATTGTTCAGGGTGAAACCCTCAAACACTTGACTTCACCAAGAGATTCCTAAGGGGGCTTTCTGTGTCCGGAGATTTCCCAGTGTCCCTTCCAGCTTGCTCAGGGTGATGCACAACTCCAGATGTGTTATTATTATTAGGTGCTGTTATTTTCTGTAGGGAGACCTGTGGCTCTTGCAGAATATCAGGCAATTCCCTCATTTATTGCTGTGCTGAAACCACCGAACTCTTTTCTTTAGGGCTCTTCAGCCTCCTTTCTTTTAATTAAAAGGCTGCAAAAACACTGGTTCCCTTTACCTGCAGATACACCCAAGCCGTGTGCAGATGTTAAACGTTAGAGGACATTAAATCACACAGGTTAATACAGATTCAGAGTAATCTCAACTCTCCCATGTGCCCACCTCTCACTGAGAGCTCTGAGCCTGGCTTGTGCCATGTTACTGTTGGAAAGAGGAACATGCTGTAGTAAGGAGAAAAAAAAAAAGGCAAACCAACAGGTTTTTGTCCTGCTCAAGTTGTCATCATGCCATTTTTATGAATCAAAAGTGTTCTGTTTGCGTTATTTTGGTAAATTGTTAAATAAGGAATCACACAGAGCTTTTAATAGACCTTTCCTCTGTAGTCACTGAATTTTGATAAGAAGTGTGACAGTAATAGTAGTTATTTAGGGAGAAATGTTGGCACATGGACAAGTAATTTACGTATAGTCAGAAGCTTCTTTCATTGAAATACATGAGCTAGTAAAAGGCAGGGGTTGATTTGGCCTCCAGTGGACATGAGTCTCCGATTTCCTTCCTAGGTTTGTTTTCCTGGAGAGTTATGGAAAGGGAGGATCTATTTCTGTGCACCTCTTGTTATAAAAATAAACCTTTTGTTATGAGGGAGGTGAGCAGGGGCTGGAAGGGAGAGTGAGGAGGAAGGAGGGCTAGATTCCCACCAGAGCTCCTCCAGCAGGGAGCAGCTCCTTCAGCATGTGTGTGTGCCTGCCTCTATCCTGGCTTTGTGTGAGCCCTGAGAAACCTCAGTTACTTTAGAGTAACTAAACTTTTTGAAATGAGATAAAAAGATAACTTTTTATCTCGTTCTTCCTCTGCTTGTACCCACACCTCTCCTTCCACTTGCTGCTCATCAGCTTTCCCTCTCCCCCTGCTCCTCCAGGTGCCCTGCTCCAGGTGCCAGCATTCCCAGGGATCTTCTGGTGGGATTGGGAACAACGAGACAAGTTATAAACCAGATATAGTCAGTGGTGAAGAAGTGTCCCAGTTGCTGGTGTGGTCTCAGCAGACACCTCCCAGGAGAAGGATCTGCCCCTCCAGGATCTTTCCTGGAGTCTGGTTTGAGGTGCACACCATCACTGCAGGAAAGCAGATCTTTGTGCTCAGGTGTCCCTGGAGAGGTCTGCTGCTCAGCAGGTGTTGTTTGCACTGTAGAGATCATACCCGATTGTCCCATTCTGCTACAATCCCATGAATTAAACTGAAAAGGTTGAAAAGGCCTTTTTGCTTGCACAGGTACAATTGCAAGCCACAATATTTTGAAGGAAGCTCAAAGAGTAGAAGGAACTTGTGAAATATGTTTGGAAAAAAAATACACCCAAACACTTCCTCCCTAATTTCCTCTATACATACTCATCATTTTTCTTCTGTTTTAGAAAAGACAGAAGCGAAATGAAAGCAATACTTTCATAAGCTGGAGGCAGGTGCAGGGTATTTTCTCAGTAACTTTCACTATCAGGTACTATTTTAAGATGCTTGTAGCAGCTGGTCGTTCTCTTCTTGTAGTTACTGTCTGCTCATGAATGTTGAGAAAAAAGCCCTCCAGATTATGCCAAAGAGCCTCTAAGGAGTTAAAGTGTCCCTGTTTCTCTCTTGCTGCTAAGTGGAGGAGGATGTGTTCTTGTTTCATGTGTTTGTGAAAGATGAAACTCATCACATTTGAGCCAATTAAAAATCAAAAAGCCAAGCATGAGATCTAAGCCTAGAGCCTAAAAACCTATGAATCTGTGAAAAACCCCCAAACTTAAAACAGAAAATATTACTTTAGATGCCTTTATTATCTGCATGTAACAATCAGGCTTTTCTTTAAGCTTTGTATTTACCCTGCATGTTACTTGTGATCTTCTGAGACTGCAGATTTCTTTCACCCCACATCAAGAAAATAAAGCTGTTTTGTTTTCGTTATCTTGTTTCCATTGAAGCATGTAAAATTGTTTCTTATGAAGCTAGTACTAGTTTTGTACTAGTTTGCCTGACTGCAACAGGTCAAGTGTCTATTTTATTTTCTATATTTAAGTTTAGCATCCTGCTACACTCTGCAAATGAACCTGTTACAACAGAGCAACAGAAGAGCAGGATCTGTACCCACAGACTGGCATCATTTCAAGCCCTACAGGGAAGCTTAAGCTCAGTGGGAAGATTTGGAAGCTGCCCAAGCCCTGACCCTACTTTAGCAGCAAATCACCTGTGCAGTGAAGACTTTACCTGCACTGCATCAGTGCACTCCCTGTGATGCTTGTTAGTGCTAAAAATAATTCTAACACTGATTTCCCCAGGGTAATTAGCCTGTGCAGAATCAGATTGAGATTAGACTCTTTTTTTTCTGGTGCCTTATCATATTTAAGTCCAGGTATTTGCCATATGCTGCAGGGAGAAAAGGCTGTCTGAGTTTCTCCATATTGTGCTGTATGGAATTCAGTGTCCCTTGCTGCCTTCTGGGATCGTACCCAGGGAGGAATGGCCTCGGGTCCACCCAGCTCAGCCTCTTGCTTTGGACTTGTTTTTTTCTGCAGAGGAAGCACAATGCTTGCTTGAAGGTGTTGATGATCCAAGGAACATCCTGCCACTGGTAAAGTATTCCCTTTTCTTTTAATAACTGGTGCTGGGTTTGGAATGCTCCAGAGCAAACTGGTAATGTTGGACAAAGGGTTACTTTATTTGGATGGTATTTTCTTATCTCTGTGTCTGTTGGTGCTTAGCATAAAGCATTCAGATAAGGTACTGAAATGAGCCATTGCAAAGAAGGAAGTGTCGATTTCTTTAGAAAAAGTCATTCCATTCCTAGTAATGGTTTGCATTTGAGCTACAATGATATTAAAAACCTGGTGTACTTGGTATGTTCTGTTATAGAAATAACCACCCAGCACATACAGTGATTGTTCAGCCAGCAGAGAGCTGTTTCCCTGATATTTTCCTTTCTCTCCCAGGGAGAAATGGTTTCATTTATGGCTCCTAGAGCCAGAAGACTCAATTTATAGCAGAAAGATAAAAGAAAAATATGAAAAAAAGTCCTCAGTCTCTTACCTCCCTGCTCCCTTATCACCTTCTTGTCAGCCTTGTTTCTCAGTGCACTGAATTCAGAAATTATAAACCTAGGGGTGGCTATAAACTCATATTAGAACTTTCCATAGCCAAATATTGTGTTGCATAACAGAAATATAATTATCTTTTCTTGTAATTTGTACAATGTCTCATGTTTTAAGTCAGTGAATGTGCCAGACAGGCAGAGACTGGGGTGAATATCCTATTCCCGAACAGCCAGAATCAACAGGGGCTTTGCACTGAGGGAGTTCCATTAGTTCCTTCCAGTTTGAACCTATGCTAATATGCATTCAAGTGAGAAGCATCTTCCTAACAGCCTCTGATGCATGTGTTAGTAATTTCAGCTGCCATGGATTTAAGTGTTTATTAGCATTTAGTTGTAGCTGAAAACACACTTGAGTGAATTCCAGCTCAGAGGTGGCTGGCACACACACTGACCCAAAGTTTTCACCTTCATTGGATAAACAAATGAGTACAAGGTTAAATACATTTAATTATTCAAGAGCTGTAATAGTGCTGCTATGGTGCTCAGGTGTGTTTTTGTCATCTTGGCTGACTTTGAGGATGATACTTTAAAAATATTAACCAGGAGCATCTTCAGCATGCATGGGGCACTTCTGGGTGTGCAGGGAATGGTTCCATAGTGAAGAAAGACAATTTCTTCTGTAATTTCCAGTGTGTAAATCAATTTGGGTTTGTTCAGTTCATTTGCTTGGTTATATTGGGTGCTTTTATACTGTTTTCAGAGTGTCTTGCAGTGTTTCTCACTTGTGGCTTTGCTGGCTTCCTGTCAAGACAGTAAGTGAAGTAGAATTGCAGGATGATTTCTCTAGGCTTTCAATGGCATTTGAAATATCTCTTACAGCCACCTGGTAGAACATCTAAAAACCATTTAGCTCTAAATATTATATGAATTTAAGGGAGTGCATATGGAGTCTTTGCTGAAAGAAACCAAAGCACATAAAAAAAAAATTTAAAAATTTCCAAAGACCATAATTAGAAGATACTTAAGGAAGGATAAAATGCTAGAAATATTTGTTCAATCATGGTGAGCTGTGACCAACTGTTCTGTCTCTAATCCTTTCTCTCTTGTCCCTATTACCCCCAAAAGAGGAGGAGATGGTAAAATAAAAGGATATAATAAAAATGACAGGTGCAATCAAAAGCAGTCTCTCTGAAGGAAGAGATTAAAGTATATGTATTCTTCTGAGCATTTGAGATTTGGCAGTGCATTAAAGAGAAGGCTGAAGGAGATAGACTGAAAACATTATTTTCTTCTTGTTACATAAGAACAAGGAGCCATTCAATTAAATCAAAAACAACAGAGTTAAATTGATAACAGGAAGTGTGTCTCTTTGAATGTTTTCTGTTTGCAGATTTTTGCTACAATGTGCCATTGAAAGGGGAAGAATAAAGAGGCCAAGCTTAGACCAAGAATTTGGCAACGTGTGTTTTTCCCTGTGGTTGCTTAGGGAATATTTGGCCATACAATTGGCCATGGACTTGTGAGGCTGAGGAAGGAAGAGGGAAAACTTCTGGCCTGTGGAGGATAAGGACTACATGAACAACATGTTGGTACCAAGAACACGCTTTCTACATGCAAGGGAGAATTCTTCTCACTTCAAAATAAAGTATTTCTATTGATGCTGTTCTGTTTGGAAGAGAAAAGCAGAGGAAATTGATGTAGGAAGAAAGAAGAGTTGTATGTGTGAATATGGGCTGGCCTGGCAGGGGGTACCCCAGTAATCCTGGCATCCCTGGCTCCTGCACCAGTGAGGAGGAGGGTGGTCCCCATTCCCAAGCTTCCAGGGATCTCCCTAGGGAACATTTCTTGTCATGGTGGTGATTTGTGTGTCTTCTGCTTGAACTGAGGAAGTGAAAAAGGGCCATGGGCAGATGGCTGATGTCAGAGTGCATTTACCCTTCAAATTGTATTTACCCTTTTCTCAGATGAGAACACGTTGTGTGTTTGTTGTTAATTGTGTCGTAGCCATCATCTGGGTTAATTTGTTTGTAAATACAATACTTATGTAAGAGAAGCTGTAGCTGCAGCAGTAATGTGGGTGCAAAGGTTCAGAGGCACAGTATGGTTAAACTTCCAGGCAATCCAGTGACCTGGGATGGGCTTATTTCTTCTGTGGCCTCAGTTCAGGCAACCTGCTGCTCCCAGTGCAGCAGATATCACTGATGTGTTGCTCCAGTGTTGGAGCTGTGAGGTGGCAGCTCAGTGGAGCCATCCCTGCTGTCTTGACAAAACCCTTTTTAATTTTTTAATTTTTTTTTTGATTCCACTGTGTTTCTGCTGGGCTTGAGGAGGACTCTGCCCCCTCTGGGTTAAATGCAGGTTGGTCTCAGAGACACGGTGTGGTCCCTGCACTATCCTTTCTGAATTGGCATTTCTAATCAGCAACTGAGGCAATGTAACTGGGAAAAAGAACGTTTAACTTGGGGAAAGCAACTGGAAAAACCTATAAGAGCAAGTCTGCTCCTTGGTAACAACATCTCAAAACAAACAAAATAAAAACAACGGCAGTGGGTCCTCAAAGTGAGAGGGGTGGAGAAAAACAGGAAAGGAATAGGAAGCAGTAAGTGCCTTGGGAAGTGGATGTTGAGCTGGGCTCTGCCTTTATTTGCAGCATCTTGGCTCCAGCAGGTTTCAGTACAAGTAGGCGAGCCATGCAGGGAGCACTAGCAGAAGATGAGCTGTTTAAATGACTCCCAGCAGTGTGTTTCATAATGTTTTGTGCAAACGTGTTTAGCCCAATAACTTCTGTTCTTCTGTTGCTGGCACGTGATGTAACAGTACCAGGGACCCAGGGACCCTGTGGCTGCCTTGTCGAGATTTTATGGGAAGAGGGAAGGGCCTAAGTGAAACTCTGAGCTGGTGTGAGCAAATCCAGCCGTGTCTTGTGAGGCTGTGCTGTGCATCAGGTGCTGCTCCAGCATGGGCATCCCTTCATCCCCACTCCAATTGGGATTTATGTCTTTTCTCCTCCCTCTGTAAATCTGTTGTGTTCAGCCTGAGTTTAGTGAGAAACACAAAGGCGTGGTGGGTCTTTCTATGCGAAATCTTCTTCTGTGAGGTTCAGAAAACTTTTTACTTAGTGGTGCTGTAAGGCAAAAAAACCAATTTCAGTTTGTCCATGTGCACTTTGATATTGTGGCTGTGTTAAGCTGATACATCTACACTAACACACATTCCTCTTTGGGCAAAACCTGTTATTGCCTTGTGCATCCTTAAAATGCCATTAAGCTTATTAATTTATTCTATTGAATATAATGATGCTGATATTATTTATTTGCCAATATAAATGGGAGAGGGGAGGATTGTGCAGCTTTAGTTACATGGTAATGCAGTTAGAGAATTTTTTTTGTAGATTCCTGAACGCTCTGCAAGTGTGGCGAGGTTAGTCATAAAGTTATTTAAATAAGTTATTAAGTAACTGGTTATGCAGCCTCATTCAAATTAATGAATGCAAGACTAGATTTCTTTGAAAGCAGGCAGTAATTTTTCTGTGTGGATTAATCTAACAATCGTGCTCTGTTGCCTGTCCTGGTGTTTTTCCTAGTAATCAGGAAAACAGTGGGAAATAATTTTTTTGTCGACTGTGCAATAGTTTGTAGGTAAATATGCTGTTTAGGGAGCAGCCCTCATGTAGTTAATGGCTGTATATTTCTGGGGACATGGGTATGTACTGTAACCTCTGTGTGTGTGCCTGCAAGGGAGTAAATCTGCAGGTTTCACCAGCTTTTTCCTGACTGGGGTTTGATGATGATTTGACCACCTCTTTTCACAGAATAAGGATGATTGCTCAGCTGTTAACCACGGAAGAGTCTGCATGTGAAGATATTCCTGTGCACAGAGGTGTCCCTGTTCCCTTACGATGCACACACAGTGAGTGATTTTATTTTAGCTCTTTTATTTCTGACCCTTCCAGCTGTGTAAATACTTAAAATGAATCAACTCAAAGGTGAATCCACCAGTAGGTTTTCAAAAGTGATCCACCCATCCATTTTTGTATCATTTTTCTCTCAGTTGCCTACTTTACAAGAAAAAATAATTCTGTAGTCTTCACTGATGGTGGGTTAATGTAAAGAAGTGTTTTGGGTTCCCAGTTGGGATTCCTCAAGTTCAATGTCCTGTCTTCAGCCTCAGCTACTTAGTTTGTGGAGCTGTTTTTCATATGTGCCATCAACACATCCTGTAATAATCCATGTAGCCTTGGAAATAGCCAACAAAGCCCTGCATGGCCTGGGCAAGTGGCAGCAGAAATGTCAGTGCCAGCTTTGCCTGTGTGTTTTGTATGCTTGCATTATCACGATTTAACTCCCATCAGTAAGCTTTGTACAGAAACAGTTTCAAATTGGATTAATCTCCAGTTTTCACAAATCAAGGCTTGACAGAAGAAGAAATGTAATGGCCCCTCTTAGCAATCATGAACTAGTGGGCAGACATTGCATTTTTGTGTAGGAATAAATACTTGCTCTGGCTGTTTTCCTCCTAAATAATCAAACCTACCCACCAGATTGTATTTGGAAGCACTTACTAATGTGACATGCTCCGTTTTAAACTGTTCAGAGAAATGACTGAAAGTTTTAAGATGAGACAACATGAATCATAGTCTTGAGCGGCTGTTCACTTTTGTGATTGACTTGCCTCCTTCCTACGTTCCTTTTAGTCACCCTGGGGATCGCTGAGGCTGTTCTGTGCAGGAGGCATTGCTGAGATTCCCCTTGCAGCAATGGACTTGGATAAGCACTCCGTGTGGGGATCCCTCAAGCAGAAGACTCGGCCGTTCCTGCGAAACCTGAGCGTGAGGAAGACCAAGAAGAGGTCTGGCAAAATGCTGGAGAGGAAGGGCCACTCCTTGGACCGCTGTCTCAGTGTGTCAGTGCCTGACATGCTGGAGGTGGAGACTCTCATGGAAGAAGAAGAAGAAGAAGAAACGACGTACTCGAGCGCTCAGGTGCTGTCGAGCTGCTCCCCCAAGAGCTTTTCCAGGTCCGTGGTGTCCCTGAAGAGCAGGAACGCGTCGGTGAAGGCAGTGGGAGAGGAGTGGCTGTGGGCGTCCCAGCAGGGCACACGGACGGAGGTGACAGTCACCCCCCCTGCCATGCAAGCTGTGGGCATCCAGCTGGTGTCCCCACGAGGAGCTGGGGCTGTGGGCAGCCCCGTGTCCGAGGGGAAGAGGAAATCCAGCGAGGACCTCCTGGAGCTGCTGCAGAGCTCCCGCCTGAGCGTCGAGGGGACAGAGGTGGGTGCTGGAGCAGCAGAGAGGCTCAGTGGCCACCTCCTGGGGGCTCCTTGTGCTTCTCCTTAATTTTCTGGGTTATAAAGGGATGGAGGATCCAACAAGGCCAGGTTGGACGGGGCTCTGAGGAGCCTGGTGTAGTGCCCCCATGGCAGCGGGCTCGAATGAGATGAGCTTTAAGATCCTTTCCCACCTGAACAATTCTGTCAGGAATGGGCTCTGTTCAAGGAATGAATGAGCAATATAAATATGCCTAAACTTTACATGATATACACATTATTCAAGACTATCCTTCATGTCTATCTGGGGCTGCAAATAAAACTGCTCCATTTTTTTTATTCTTTTATTATTCTTCTCTTATTTATAACGATACTTCGGATTTTTCAGATTTGTTGGAATTGCTTGCTGAAATCAAAAGTTATTGCAATTCTCTGAGCTCTGAAATAAGATGCTGGTACACTTGCTTTCTAGTTAATAAAAGTTACCAGGATTGCTATGTAGCATAATCAATTTGCCATCCACCCACTCAAGATTGGTGAAGGCAGTGAAAGATGCTAGGGGAAAGATGGCTGTGAGTGAGGTGAACTCTGGCCTGTACCTGGAATTAACCAAAACAAGCACATGATGGGGAGCAGACCATGTAGCATCATTCTCAGGACAGTTTTTTTTTTATTTTTGTGATGATGATTTAAGAAGGTGAAAAACTAAAATGTTTCTTCTGCACTCCCTGTCTGTCTTGTCCCCTTTCCTTCCCGTCTGCCTCTGTGGTCAGTATTTGTGTCTGGACATAATGTCCCATGATCAGGAGGATCAGAGACAATACTGCCATGAAACTTAATTCCTGCCTGGCCTGAGCAAATTGGGAATCCTGAGGAGCTGTATGATAGCTTCATTACATAGACAGCAGGTTTGTGGCTGCAGGAAGCACTTCAGGCAAAATTTGTTTTGTTTATATTTTGTGGAAGTATGTCTGCTCCTGTTGAGTTCTCTCTGGGAAGGTTGCATTTTGAACTTCTCGATGCCTTTTTCTCATTACCTGCTTGTTGCAGTGGTGGGAGCTGCCGCTGTAGTCACCCAAGGTGCAAAAATGGGAACAGGGCGCTTTTGTTTCGAGTCATCCCTTGGGAATGGGGATTTCACAGGTTAATTGGTTTTTAACTGCACGTTCAAAGGGATGATTAGCGCTGGTGTGGGGAAAATGCTCCTTTCTGATATGAACTGCTTGTTTTGCATCTCAAAGGCTTGTGTATTCCTACCAAATGGGTGTTGGCTCCCAGCCTGTTGTGATGCAAAGTGTCAGACTGGTAGTTACTGACCATCGCTTGCGGTTTAGTGTTGCTAAACTAGTTTCATCTTGCTGGAGTGTTCATTATTCTGAGGGGTAGTTGAGGAAAGGGACTGAAATAGTATAGTGCTTTGTTTCTCTGCTCAAACGTTTCACCTCACTCGGTATATGGTGAATATATGGACTCTCATAATTCTGGAAGTTTTTCCAGATTGTTTTAACTATAGCAGCGATTTTTTTCCTGCTGTTGTACGCCAGAAACCCTAATCTAAAATCTGCCTCAGCACAACGAAGTTAATACTAAGTCCTGCTTTGATTTTGGGCAAACTGAGTGTTCTAGGAGAATGAAGTACCTGTGTAGTGATGCAGTAGCTTAACCTCAAGTCAGTTGTCATCCAGATGCACAATCTGAGTCTGGCTTATTTTCTGCAGCACTTACATCTTTCCCTAAATGTGTATTCTGTATTTACTAGTGTGTGTAAATAATTTGCTATTTACTTGTATGGCAAATCATCTCTCTGTATGAATATGCTTCCTTAGTGTAATCTACCTCCAGTGCAATTTATAAAGATCTTTTTCCTCGAAAATAAAAAGGAGAGAGTGCAGCAAAGGAAAGTAGAAATTAATAAGGATCAGATTTAATTATATCAAATCTAGTGAAAAACAAATTCAATATTGGAAGGTGTCCACGCAGGGAGGGTGGAACTAAATGATCTGTAAGGTCCCTTCCAACCCAAACCCCAGTATTCTATGACAACTTCAATATTCAGCTTCACTTGTACTTAATTGAACAGCGACTGGATTTGTGCTGTGTGTGCCTTGGATGGGATGTTACAGAGGTTTTTGGTCTCTGAATGCTGGGTGGGTTTTTTCTGAAGAGCACAAGAGCTCACACTGTTCCTGTGTGGGCATCACTCCTTGCCCAGGGCAGTAAATCAGAAGGAAGGCAGGACCCTGGAACAAAACAAACTAAAAAAAGGAGAAATGTAGGTTGAGCTTCTTTTCCCACTGAATTGCTTGTCACATGCCACCTACTCATTTCCTGGTTCTCTTTGGCCACCTTATATCGTGAGATCCTCCCTGAGCCTGGTGGGGGAGATCAGCGAGTGCTTGTGGTTTTCACATTTGTGTGAACTCTACGTGCAGAGCTGTGGGTGCTCACCCATCACAGCCCATCTTCACCAAGGCTCTGCCCACAGGTATCGTTTTTCCATTTGTCAGAGATTTGCTCTCTGTTCCTCATTGCACCCAGCCTGAAGAAGCAAGTGAAGTTACGTTGAATCCCTGCGTGTAAAGGTTGTAAAGGGTTCCTGTAATGCCATTTTTTTTGGTTTTTTTTTCCGTGGCCACGTGTCATTGCTGAAGTGCTCTGGTATCTCTTTATCTCCTTGCCAACACTTTGCAGTGAGTCACTGGCAACCCAAAGCCTTGTCCTGTTGCTGATGCTCTCAGTGATCTTGTATTTTGAATAATTCTTCTGCAGAAAACGAGGGGAGGCAGAGGTGGGAACACTTGTCAATAATATTTATGTATATTCATACATCTACTCTTAATTTGTTTTCATGCAGATACATTTGGGAATGTGACCCCCCCGGGTGTGCCCACTTTTGTTTAAAGTTGAGAAGTGTCACTGTAGTTCGATAAAATCAAGGTTTCACGACCATATTTTCACCAAGACTTTTATCTATTTCAGTGATCTCATTGCAGTTAGCTACCTAGAATAACAGTAATTTATATTATGTGGTGCTAAAATTAAAAAACACAAGTTTTTCTAGTTACAATTGTAATTGTTCGGTATCTGCGGATGTAATGCAAGTAAACAAAAAACAGAATAGACAAAATCATAATTTTGAGGGTAATTTTTAAAATAAATGATATCAAGCTAGCCAAGACAGTACCTTAAAATTATTATAATTTCAATGCAGTTCTTTGATCCTGTGTTTGTCATGTAAAACAAGCTGCAAGGAGAAACCATTACCAGTGCCAACGATGGTGCCTGAAGGAGATTCCTGTGAAGCCAGAGACTCCAAGAAACACTAAGTTTAATGCACGAGTGAGATTTTATGCATACTAGTCAGAAAATTCAAAGTTAGGGTTCCCCTAGCAGCTGTAACCCAGCTCTGTTGTGTGAGAAAATTCTTCTGCTGCTCTTTATGATGATAATTTTTCCACTTTTAATGTGCTTTTGCAAGGTGGCCAAGTTATGATTACTGTGGGAACCATAAAGTTAGATTTTGTCTGTCATGCAAGGGAAATCTTACTTGCAGTGCTGGATTACTGTACTTCCTGATATGTAATATATGTACTTGCAGGAGGAGGAGGAAAAGAATTGCACAAAGGGTGTTTATGTTTATTTCAGCATGTCAATACAGTTGAGATTTATGTACTTTGGTGCAGGAGCCGGTTGACTTTTAAATGTTTCTGTAGCGCTGCACACAATGCTGCTCTCATCTGAGAGGTTTGGATGTTAGCACATGAACACACTTTCACATGAGGATCGAATTCCACCTTGTGTGCATTCCTGCAGACCGAGATTATCCTCAGCATAAATCTTTGTGTTTGAATGGGCTGCAATTGCCCTGCATCAGAGCTGAAGAGTTTCCCAGGCACGTGGGTGCTCTTCAGCCTAAATGATGGTCACGGGCACTGGAGCAGCCAGAGGAGCATCAGAGATGTCCTGGCTGATGAATCACTTCAAACAGACTCCTGGGCCAGTAGCCTCAAGTTTTTGGATGAGTCACTATTTAGGAAGAAATATTTTACTTCTTCTCCTGTAGATAAAAATTGCTTTGGATCATCCAGTTAGTGCAGCAACATGGGGGAAGTAGATGTTCTTTGTATTTTTTTTTTTCTCTCTTTTGTCATTGTTTAACCCACCAGGCAGCTAAATATGACACAGCTTCTCTCTTACTCCTTGCTGGGTGGGAGTCATCACATGCAAGAGAAAATTGGGGATAAAGGGTAAAATATGTGGGTTGAGATAAAGACAGGAAAGGACAGAAAAGGAAGAGGTAATTATTTTAATAATATTTTATGTATTATACTATAAAGATATTATAAACTAAAAGTCTAAAGATCAATTATAATAATTATATATTTATATAATATTTAAAAATAATTAATATTTTTATAAAAGTGATACAACAGTTAAAATATTCAAAACAAATGAGGTACAGTGCAGTTGTTCATCACCTGCTGGCTGATGCCCAGCCAGTTACTCAGCAGAGGGACAGTACTTGTCCAGCAACTACTAAAAACATCAGTGTGTTATCAACATTGTTCTCACCCTAAATCCAAAACAGAGCACTGTACCAACTACTAGAAGGAAAATTAACTCATCCAAAACAAGGACACCTTTCCTTTTGACAATTTCTTTGTAACTTTTCCCCTGAGCATTTCTTTTAAAACCCAGACCAAACAAAAAAAAAAACCCCCACAAAAAAAAAATAAAATAAAAAAACAAAAAAACCACACCAACCAAAAAAAAAAAAAAAACAAACCAAAAATCCAAACACCAAACCGAGTAAAAAACTATTTAAAAAAACCTGTAAGTGGAACTTGCTTTTTGGATGGTGAAGGAGAAGTTGTGGTCAAGTGAGAGCAGCCGGCCACCAGACACAACAACCTTCAGATATCTGGAGAGTTTGTGATAAGGACCTTCAGCACCCAGTGCTGGGCAGAAGAAGAAGAAATTTATTCCTGGCTGGAAGCAGGCACTTGTTTTTCCTGGATTAAACTCAAGAGACTAAGAGCAGTTGCTGTAAAACAGGAAAAAGAAATATATATTTAAATTATCTAATGCATAAGTAAGAGCATTTCTCTCATTACACATATGTATGAGTAATTTCTTGACTGATGCTAGGAGCATTTTCTTTCCTGTTTTTGTCTAATTCATTCTATCTTTTGTTGTCTAGTACTCGTGTGGAGAAATGGATTTTGACTCCTCCCTATCATCTCAAAATTTTGATGACCAAATGGTAAGTCCTGTCATTTTGAAGCTTGATCAGCAACACAATTTATTTTAGCTTCGTGTTCTTTGCTTCTTATCAATTTAAAAACTCTTATCAGATGAAGAAGTCATCTAGAGATTTGCTCAGTGTGGGTTTTGCTTTTTTTTTATTTGTGGGGATTTTGTGTTTATGGGTGGTTTTGTGTTTTTTTCATTTGTTTGGCTTTTTAGTAGTTCAAAGTGGTTGTTAATGTTTAGAATAGACCCAAACGTTCTGGATTTTTTTAAAGTTGTCTATAAAATCCATATTGTACTGGTAAATGATGAAAGTATCAGTATAAATACTCAAATAACAGTGTAGGAACAAACCGGATTAAAATAAATACAGCAAATAACACAGCTGTAGGCTTTGACAGACAGCAAAATCAGTTTTAGGGCAGTGTGAAAAGGCACTGGCAGCTCTGACACGTTATTCTCATGTAAAACATGTTTGCCTTTTGGATGAACTTCTCTACCTTTGCCCTCTGATAACCTCTCAAGTGCTGTCCAGAGCTGTTTTCACCGAGTGTTCCAGCTGGAGGATGATGCTGAGGTGTGTAACCCTGGCAGCACCTCTGATGAGCAAAAATCCTCTCGAGTTTGCTTCTGCTAAACCTCACAACCAGCACTGCCTGCCACTGGCCTTCTCTCTTTTGGGGCTGCATAAAGAAATGCTGTCCTGTCCTCTCAGGAGCTGTGTGAAATGTGTTCTGCTTCCTCTGAGGTTGTCAGATGGATGCAAAGGACGAGATGATCTTTAGGGGTCTCTTCCAACTTGGGAGATGCTATGAATGCACAAGAAACAGCTCGAAAAAAAAGTGCTGATAAGCTGATAGGATTTGGAAAACCTGTGTATGCATTTGTGGTTGTTCCATCACCACTCATTTCCAGGTAAAACCTTGCTTTTTTAAACATACTTGGTGCTGACATTTAGCTACTTGCATAGTGAAGTAAAGCCTGGGAAAGAAATATTTTTTTCTTTTCCCTCCTTTTTTTCTTTTTTTTTTGCTTTCTGTAAAAGATTGCCCTAAGGAAAGAGCAGAACTTTGTGTCTGCAGCGCTGGGAGCACACCTGCCTCATTTATGATCTGCTTCGGGAGGTGTGTGACTGATTCCTTTGTTCTCCTTAGGCTCTGGAGGAAGCAAACGACTGCCTGAGTGACCTGCCCAGCCCCTTTGCCTACCTGCTGACCATCCACCTGAGGGAAGGCAGGAACCTGGTTATCAGGGATCGCTGTGGTGAGCCCCACCTTTCCTCTGGCTTGCTCTAGAATTCACACAGCTCTCCTTTATCACTGATCTCAGTCTGGCAGCCTATCTGCAGTGCAGAGCCATGGAGTTGTGTCTCTCCTGCAGGTCAGAGCACTCGGGGTTGGGTTTATCCCCCCTGGATGCACAGGGAAGGGAGCTGCCCTCTGCTTGCTGCTCCTTCTTGGCTGCCCTTAGCACCTGTACCCATTCAGGAACTGCAAGAAGTTCTATTTGAGCTTTAAAAAAAAAACAAAAAGAAGAATAATTGGAGGTTTATTCAATGATGGAGCTGCTCTTAGGAGTGCTTTTGGGTTATCTGCAAGGATGTTAATGAAACCACAGGAGCAGGGCTGTAAGCCAACAATCCTCTCTAACCTGGGATGTGACTGAACAATGAACAGCATGCTAAAAACCCAAAAGCCACCCCCAGATGACGTATCAAATAAATTGCAAAACATTTGGGGAATTCCTGGAAAAAACGTGTGAAAATGCCTGCCCTTAACCTGGCTTGTCTTCAGGCTGCTGAAACAGGGAGTAAAAATGCTCATAAGCAGGCAGTCCCTTGCTGTGGAGGGAAGAGCTGTCCTCTCTGTGCAGAGAGGACTCTGAGGCAGCAGCTGTGTCAGGACCTTCCATCTGAACCTGCCAGAGAGCTCTTCCATATATCCAGTCTTGATTTCATATTTTTTCCCTGCATGTGGGAACATTTCTGGTAGTTTTGTCTTGCAAAATGTCTGAGCAGCTTCTTTTGAGGTGAAGCCATAGGGTTTATTCATTTGGTTTTAAACAAAATAAGCTTGCACAGCCCAAAGGCCTGTGAAGGTTTGCACCTGGAGGGACCTGTCTGATTTAGGTTCTCACATGAGGTGCTCCTTGGGATTTCTGTTATCTGGTAACTCAGTTAACTTTTTCCATGCTGTTTTTTCATGGCTTCACAAACAGTAACTTTTGGTTGAGTGTATGCTTGTTTTTCCTGGCAGTTTTTGGAAGGAATGAACCAGTACTTAGATTAAGATCTTTACTGGTTCTACAGAAGCCTGTATTTCCTAACAGTATAGCAGTTCATCTGATTTTACTAGCAGGCTGCACAAGCCAGGACACATCCAACTGCTCCTATGAAAAAGATGCTGGAAATGAGCAATTCCAGCAGAGTAATATTTCTAGAGAAGACAGAGCATACTTTGCTCTAGGCTGTGTTTTGTTGTGTAAGAAAGCAAACGCTTGTCTTAGTGAAGCATTGGACAGAATAGTGAAACAACATAAGGGGGGAAAAAAATTCCTTTTGATGAGTCTCTGTTGCTCTGTGGCAAATGACCTCTCATTTAGTAAACTGAGCATGTGAGGTGATGCTTCCTTCAGTAAAACTGCTGCTTTTTATTGCACAGGCAGCAGGAGGGGAGAAAACAGTGACTTAATGATTATTCATCAGTCACCACCATTCTGCAGTGGTGGCTCCTTCAAAAAATAAAAAGCACACTGTGGATGCCCATCGTTACAGGCCTGTGCTGTCACTCTGCTTTATGTGACATCTTTGTGTGATGCTGGGGCTTGGCCTGCACCCACTGGGCTTTCTCAGCGTGCCTTTGAAAGCCAGGGGTTGTCAGCTCTGCTCATCTCTTCAGTGTGAGAAAGCCTCAGAGATAACCTGTGGGCTGGGAGTGTGTGGCATCCCTGCTCTCCCCACACCCTGGTGCTGCTTAGAGTTGCTGGGCTGGGGTGTATCAGTGTGCTCTGAGTAATTTGAATTTACAATTTACCCATCACAGTCTGAGTGGAGAGTTTATACCCCAGCATATTTAGCCTAAATAAGGATTAATGTAAGTCTTGTAATTTTCCTAAATTTTAATTTATTATGCAATTGGCGATTTGTGTGGGAAAAATTCTCAAAGCAGTCATCAAACCCATCAGTTTATATTTTTTGAGGGACTTTCTTTACCTACTTAAAGATAAATAAAATGTTATTTAAGTGTGGTGTCCTGTCTTCTTCTCATATTTTCACTTTTCCCCTTAATTTTATTTTACAGCAGTTCAAGCAGCTCAGGCTTAGGGGCTGCAGTGTGGGTGGGTGATGCCCTCTCCTGGCAGCTGAGTAAAGTCTCTCGTGCTCATGTTCAGTCTGTTTCTGCCTCTGTTTTGTCCCAATGCAAGAAGTATTTATCTGTGTGTACATGTAAAAACAAATCTAAGGTGTGTGACCAAGGAGAAATATTTCTGACATTGGAAGCAGCTGTTGCGAAAAAAAAATCCTGGCAGTACTCATCAAATTCACAGGTTTCTCCCTGAATTTACTCATTATATGCTGAACAGTTATTAATTAGGAAATAATTATGCTTGGCTGAGTAAAGGTGAACAGGAGTTCTACTTAGAACTGTGGGCTGTATGACCACCACGACTTCACTTTTTTCCAGCTTTCCCAGAATTTTTTTTTTTTACTCTCTGCCTCAGTATGTACTGCTCTTTCCAGGATATGTTCCCTTTGGTGTGATATAAATTCCTCCTTCACTTTGCCAGATTTTTATTACATTTTTTTCCTTTTCATAGTATTAATCCTGTTAACATCTGCTCTTTCCTATTTTTCCTTCACTTTTTACTTCTTGCATTGCTTTTTATCTGTCTCTTGTGTCTCTCCAGTCCCTGACTTTCTGCAGCTCCTCTCCTTACTGCTCTCTTTAGAGAGGGTGCATCAGCCCAGGAGACTGGTTCAGATGCATGTGCTTCCTCTAAATTGCACAGCAATGCAGAAAAGAAAAATAAATCAGAGTTTCAGTGTTTCTTTATCCTCTTTTATCTATTTTTTGAAGGGTAAGTGAAAGAAAAAGCCTCTGTACAGCAACACCCAATATATGTGCCCCAGCCAAGGAATCCAAGTGCTGCTAGAGCAGGATCTTGATTCTGGTGGAAAGTAGAGAAGCTCCAAAAACCCCCTTTTTTGGGTCAAAATCAGTTTCCTGTCGAGGGATGCAGGATGAGAGAGATGTTACCTGTTGGTCATCACCTTGCTTGGAGTCTGATTTACTTTCTTACAGTCTCACCATACAATAGAAACTGCCTAAGCAGATGGTAAATTTGGCATGTTACCTGTGTGCACCTTTGGGGCCAATGTTAGGCACTGCACAGGTCCTACATTTATAGTTCTTGTAGGGGATGAGCCAAACACTGAAGGTTATGGGTCTCTGTGTGTATATACACAGCACCAGAAGTTTGATTTTTATGTTTTTTTATGGTATTACTGTTACTAGATGTGTTTCAGTGATGGGAAGGAATTTGCATCTGTGTAGTTTTAATACTGCAGATAATAAGAAAGCAGGATTTTTTTTTTAATTAAAAATCTATGAAGAACTGCAGAAGCTTGGCAGAACAGAGAGGTGATTATTCTGTATCTCATTTAAAAAAATTCACTGGTGGTCTAAGTGTTGGCATCTTTTTGCACCCTTAGTGGTTTAATGGCCTTGTTGACACTTGTTTTGTGAAGATCAACTTCATCCTTTGAGATGGGAGAGGCTGGAGCCCATTTCCACCTGCTGGTTCACCTTCCGTGGGCAGAGTGATGCCTCGTGGTTGTTTGAGTCAACCTAAAGAAATCCCAAAGGTCCTGCTCCCTTTTGGCACTGGGATGCTCTGACTGTGCACATTGGCCCTGGTCGAGTCACCCTTAGAGAGCAGTGAACAAAGTGATGCCACAGCTGTGAGGAAGGGCTGCCTTCCTTCAGGGGGCAAACCCAGCTCTGCTGCTGTAAGAATAAATAGAAACTAGGTTTTGAGTGCCTGTGAGGGTAAGAAACCCCTCCCATTTCCAAATCCTGTGCTTTAGAAGTTCATTTTTCATCTGTTAAAGAGTGTGGTTACAAGAAACACATTTCTCAGATGTGATGTCAGCTGGTGAGTGGCTGTGGTTGGTGTCTTTTTTCTTTTTCTTCCCCTTTAACCACATTGTTCCAGCCTGAACTTTGTGTGTCTCTTTTCTACCTGGTTTCATGCTTTGTAGATATTTTTTTTTTTCTGCCTCGTCTCTGTTTCTTCCTTTCAGGTTTTATTTGTTTCCTGTTGCTGCACTTTGGTTTTCCTCTCCTTTCTTTCCTCTCATGACAGAGGCAGCTGAACGTGCCAAGGGAGCAAGGGGAGGTGCAGCAGTACAGAAGATGCAGTGCCTTAATGGATGCATCCTGCTTTTCTTGTCCTCAGCACATCATCCTCTGCTCTCACATCTCACTGCCTGGGGATCCTGGGGGGCTCCCTGTGAGCTGTGCCAGAGATCAGCCTCCCAAGGACAAAATAAAAAGAAATAAAAGTTGTAGGATAACATGCACTTTAACTTTCAGCAGTAGTGAGTCTGCAGGAACCCACCACTCGTAGCTCTGGGCTATCCAGAAGTCAGACCTTGGTGATCCCAGTGGGTTTTGGCAACTCAGGGTATTTTATCATTCTGTGATTCACTGCCTGGGTCCGTGCTGATACCAGAGTGCCAGAGGAAGGGATGTGTGTGTGCTGTGCTGGGTATTTGTCGGCTTCGAGCAAGTAATTGTTTGGAAAGCAAATGCTCAGAGCAATTAGGCTGAATCGCTCTCTGCAAACACACTGATTAATTTAGACTTTGTCTGTTTTCAGGGTATCTGCAATTAGATCATTAGGCCTTCAGATTTATTAATTATTGCGATGTATTAGGCAACTTTTCACACTCCTTTTTGAAAGGGGTAATCATGGCTAATTTACAACTGCTGAGAGTTTGAGTGGTGCTGAGCACTCGTTGAGATGTGGCTCTGTGAACATTGGCTTGTGCTGAGAGTGTCTGTCTGTGCCAAGCCCAGTTTCTGCAAAGTGTGTGCCTGAAACTTTGCCCTTGGGCACAGTGATCCCTGTGAGCATCCTGCCTGCCCTGGTGTGGGAAAGGAATGCACTGAGATGGGAACCTCAGAAACACAGGAGGAGTTCAAACAAAAGCAGTTTATGTGTCTGGAGGACTTCAAACAAAAGCAGTTTCTCTCTCTTCC